AAGAAACTCCATCTTCCTCAGAATCAGGAGAGTCGTATAATTTAGGATGGTATTCTTCGTCCGAATCTGAATCAATCCTTGGTACTTTAGGAGGTGGTGGCGAAGAAACTCCTTCATCCTCAGAATCAGGAGAGTCGTATAATTTAGGATGGTCTTCTTCGTCAGAGTCTGAATCAATCCGTGGTACTTTAGGAGGTGGTGGCGAAGAAACTCCTTCATCCTCAGAATCAGGAGAGTCGTATAATTTAGGATGGTCTTCTTCGTCAGAGTCTGAATCGATCCTTGGTACTTCAGGAGAGGGTGGCGAAGAAACTCCTTCATCCTCAGAATCAGGAGAGTCGTATAATTTAGGATGGTCTTCTTCGTCAGAGTCTGAATCGATCCTTGGTACTTCAGGAGAGGGTGGCGAAGAAACTCCTTCATCCTCAGAATCAGGAGAGTCGTATAATTTAGGATGGTCTTCTTCGTCAGAGTCTGAATCAATCCGTGGTACTTTAGGAGGTGGTGGCGAAGAAACTCCATCTTCCTCAGAATCAGGAGAGTCGTATAATTTAGGATGGTATTCTTTGTCCGAATCTGAATCGATCCTTGGTACTTTAGGAGGTGGTGGCGAAGAAACTCCTTCATCCTCAGAATCAGGAGAGTCGTATAATTTAGGATGGTCTTCTTCGTCAGAGTCTGAATCGATCCTTGATACTTTAGGAGGTGGTGGCGAAGAAACTCCTTCATCCTCAGAATCAGGAGAGTCGTATAATTTAGGATGGTCTTCTTCGTCAGAGTCTGAATCGATCCTTGGTACTTCAGGAGAGGGTGGCGAAGAAACTCCTTCATCCTCAGAATCAGGAGAGTCGTATAATTTAGGATGGTCTTCTTCGTCAGAGTCTGAATCAATCCGTGGTACTTTAGGAGGTGGTGGCGAAGAAACTCCATCTTCCTCAGAATCAGGAGAGTCGTATAATTTAGGATGGTATTCTTCGTCCGAATCTGAATCGATCCTTGGTACTTCAGGAGAGGGTGGCGAAGAAACTCCTTCATTCTCAGAATCAGGAGAGTCGTATAATTTAGGATGGTCTTCTTCGTCCGAGTCTGAATCGATCCTTGGTACTTCAGGAGAGGGTGGCGAAGAAACTCCTTCATCCTCAGAATCAGGAGAGTCGTATAATTTAGGATGGTCTTCTTCGTCAGAGTCTGAATCGATCCTTGGTACTTCAGGAGAGGGTGGCGAAGAAACTCCTTCATCCTCAGAATCAGGAGAGTCGTATAAATTAGGATGGTCTTCTTCGTCAGAGTCTGAATCAATCCGTGGTACTTTAGGAGGTGGTGGCGAAGAAACTCCATCTTCCTCAGAATCAGGAGAGTCGTATAATTTAGGATGGTATTCTTCGTCCGAATCTGAATCAATCCGTGGTACTTTAGGAGGTGGTGGCGAAGAAACTCCTTTATCCTCAGAATCAGGAGAGTCGTATAATTTAGGATGGTCTTCTTCGTCAGAGTCTGAATCGATCCTTGGTACTTCAGGAGAGGGTGGCGAAGAAACTCCTTCATCCTCAGAATCAGGAGAGTCGTATAATTTAGGATGGTCTTCTTCGTCAGAGTCTGAATCGATCCTTGGTACTTCAGGAGAGGGTGGCGAAGAAACTCCTTCATCCTCAGAATCAGGAGAGTCGTATAATTCAGGATGGTCTTCTTCGTCAGAGTCTGAATCAATCCGTGGTACTTTAGGAGGTGGTGGCGAAGAAACTCCATCTTCCTCAGAATCAGGAGAGTCGTATAATTTAGGATGGTATTCTTTGTCCGAATCTGAATCGATCCTTGGTACTTTAGGAGGGGGTGGCGAAGAAACTCCTTCATCCTCAGAATCAGGAGAGTCGTATAATTTAGGATGGTCTTCTTCGTCAGAGTCTGAATCGATCCTTGGTACTTTAGGAGGTGGTGGCGAAGAAACTCCTTCATCCTCAGAATCAGGAGAGTCGTATAATTTAGGATGGTCTTCTTCGTCAGAGTCTGAATCGATCCTTGGTACTTCAGGAGAGGGTGGCGAAGAAACTCCTTCATCCTCAGAATCAGGAGAGTCGTATAATTTAGGATGGTCTTCTTCGTCAGAGTCTGAATCAATCCGTGGTACTTTAGGAGGTGGTGGCGAAGAAACTCCATCATCCTCAGAATCAGGAGAGTCGTATAATTTAGGATGGTATTCTTCGTCCGAATCTGAATCGATCCTTGGTACTTCAGGAGAGGGTGGCGAAGAAACTCCTTCATTCTCAGAATCAGGAGAGTCGTATAATTTAGGATGGTCTTCTTCGTCCGAGTCTGAATCGATCCTTGGTACTTCAGGAGAGGGTGGCAAAGAAACTCCTTCATCCTCAGAATCAGGAGAGTCGTATAATTTAGGATGGTCTTCTTCGTCAGAGTCTGAATCGATCCTTGGTACTTCAGGAGGTGGTGGCGAAGAAACTCCTTCATCCTCAGAATCAGGAGAGTCGTATAATTTAGGATGGTCTTCTTCGTCAGAGTCTGAATCGATCCTTGGTACTTTAGGAGGTGGTGGCGAAGAAACTCCTTCATCCTCAGAATCAGGAGAGTCGTATAATTTAGGATGGTATTCTTCGTCCGAATCTGAATCGATCCTTGGTACTTCAGGAGAGGGTGGCGAAGAAACTCCTTCATTCTCAGAATCAGGAGAGTCGTATAATTTAGGATGGTCTTCTTCGTCCGAGTCTGAATCGATCCTTGGTACTTCAGGAGAGGGTGGCGAAGAAACTCCTTCATCCTCAGAATCAGGAGAGTCGTATAATTTAGGATGGTCTTCTTCGTCAGAGTCTGAATCAATCCGTGGTACTTTAGGAGGTGGTGGCGAAGAAACTCCATCTTCCTCAGAATCAGGAGAGTCGTATAATTTAGGATGGTATTCTTCGTCCGAATCTGAATCGATCCTTGGTACTTCAGGAGAGGGTGGCGAAGAAACTCCTTCATTCTCAGAATCAGGAGAGTCGTATAATTTAGGATGGTCTTCTTCGTCCGAGTCTAAATCGATCCTTGGTACTTCAGGAGAGGGTGGCGAAGAAACTCCTTCATCCTCAGAATCAGGAGAGTCGTATAATTTAGGATGGTCTTCTTCGTCAGAGTCTGAATCGATCCTTGGTACTTCAGGAGAGGGTGGTGAAGAAACTCCTTCATCCTCAGAATCAGGAGAGTCGTATAATTTAGGATGGTCTTCTTCGTCAGAGTCTGAATCAATCCGTGGTACTTCAGGAGGTGGTGGCGAAGAAACTCCATCTTCCTCAGAATCAGGAGAGTCGTATAATTTAGGATGGTATTCTTCGTCCGAATCTGAATCGATCCTTGGTACTGTAGGAGGTGGTGGCGAAGAAACTCCATGTTCATCAGAATCACTATCAGAGTCGTATAATTTAGGATGGTCTTCCTTGTCTTGATCGTTGTTGGCCATTGTGTGTGATTGAACCGTCTGGTCTGGGTCTGCCTGCTTACGTCTCACATCACTACACACACAACTCACTGCGACTGCGCAGCGCACCTACGGGCGCCGCCCCCCTCTCTTCAAACTGTAGTAGTGGGGACTTTGGCGGGAAGGCGAATCAGCGGCAAGGCGAATCAGCGGCAAGGCGGCAAAGATGGCGGCCACACCATAACTGGGCAATAATAATATTTAATTATAAATTATAAATCATCATCACTGCCCCCAATAAATAATAATATTTAGTTATCTGCGTGAACGGGATAACTTGAGTAATTTTTGTCCGATTTTGATGAAATTCGTTTTAAAGGTGTAAAGCGGGATAAACTTGAATGAGTTCGCGAACCAGCATGATCGGACCATGGGAACGGGGCTTTACGGGGGGTTTTATGGGGTAAAAATTGGTTTTTCTCACTTTTGACCCTTAAAACACAAAATTTCCCAATTTTTCTTTAGACCTTTTTAAAGAGCTTAAAAAAACAAATAATTTAGTATATAAAAGTATTTTTGTTCGGTTATTAATAACGGATAAAATTTAAAAAATTTTAAATTTAAAATTCCCATGTTATTCTTATGTAGAATATTGTCAAATATTGTAGTTTGCTTGTTTATGGATATAATTTGATCAAACTTGGCAAATTTATTTATTTTGTACTAAGCTATCAATATTTTACTAAAAAAACACACTTTATTAGTTTCCTTGTAGCAGCAAACTTAGGTACTCGTTAAACCTAATGATATTAAAATATATTTAATTGAAAATAATTTCAGACAAATGGAAATTCGCTTAGTCAGCAGGTTTGCTGCGGCGGGGGTATTTTATGTTAAAATGGTATAAGATTACCTGTTTCTGTCTATGATCCTAATTTGTAGTATGAGCTACCGGTTTCGAGGTTATGACCTCATCATCAGGCTCTTGTCACTCTTGCAAGGTTGTCGAGTTTTACAATTACACAAAACACTGACATTTAAATAAATAAAATACACGACATTGACTTTTACTTATTATGTATTTTATTTATTTAAATGTCAGTGTTTTGTGTGTTTGTAAAACTCGACGACCTCGCAAGAGTGACAAGAGCCTGATGATGAGTTCATAACCTCGAAACCAGTAGTAGCTCATACTACAAATTAGGATCATAGACAGAAACAGGTAATCTTATACCATTTTAATTTTTCAAGAAAAGTGATCCTGGACCAAATAACATCATTATTTTTTATCTTTACAAATTTGTCAAATTATTAAAATTAGTGTGATAGGGTACTTCTTGGTTTGGACATCAGCTGATAAAAAGTGACTACAGTATGTATTGTAATTTGTATAGACAATATTGGTCTTTATGTTTATTAGACCTCTTCATTTAATGGAGATCAATTATTTTGTGATGTAATAACAGGCAGTAAATACCTTAATACATGGTTTGTCTGACTATAATTTACTATTAACTCTAAGTCTTTGTTCTCAAGAGAACACTAAGATGCAATCATTGGTTCTACAATTGATTTAAAGTATTGATGATTACAGGTGGATCCAGTAACATTACTGACACAGTATGTCACTCATCTGCTATTTTGGGAAGAGTTGGTAGACATATCGAAGTTCTTAACGAGGAAGAAACATTTAAACTTTGCACTTTTCACGATATTCTTGATGAAAGAACTTTGACAAAACTGAAGGACGAAATAAAACATGTAAACTTGGAATTGAATGCCAGTGATATGATGCACCTGCACCAATCTGCAGATTTAAGCCAAATAGACCAACTAGACGATTTGCCATATTTAAAAAAAGTCATCACCAACCTAAAAACGAATATAAGAAAACAAGTGGAAGAAATATTTCATGTGGAAACAAGTGAAGAAATCACAGCAACTATCAGTAGCTATAAAAAGGGAGGTAAGATCTTAAAAGTACCTTCTCTCATAGGTCTTTGCCTCATAGGTACTTATTCTGATTTAAGATAGCAATGGCAAAATTTGCCACCAGCAATCTTTTGGACAATCTAGATCTGACACACCTTAATTATTTAGTTATTAGTTAACCCTTTGGGTCCCAAGGGCCGATTACATCAGCTCTGCCAATAGGTTTTAAAATGCCCACAGGCCGATCTGATCGGCTTTGTAATTAGCCGTGAAAAGACCCGAGGGCCGATGAGATCGGCCTAGCAACAAGACACGAAAAAACCCAAGGGCCGATGTCATCGGCTTTTAGTATTTGTTATGCAATTATGTTAATTTTCGTAATAAATGTCTATATAATACATCAAAGGACAGATAAAGACATTGTCTGTGGAAATATTTTCAGAAAACATAAATATAATATTTTATATAGTGCTACCAAGAGCCGAAAGTCGACGAAATTTACGTGGCATCACGCTTCGCTTGACAGTTTCCCGCCGACTGTACCGTTGTTGTTTAAACGTCATAATATAAAATACAATAATTTAGTAAACAAATAACTAAGTAAAAATATAAATAAATAAATAAATATTCTCATTTAGTGATTACATAACAACTTTCACCTTCAGAGCTGTTATATAATGAATGTGTAAAACTAGCCTATTCTTCCCGCGTTAGTGTTTTAACGCCGATTTGCTTCTTTTGGCGCATTTTCCACCGACTTCACTGTTGTTGTTTGCACGTGATTATATAAAACACATCAATTTAGTAAACAAATAACTATAAGTAAAAATAAAAATAAAGAAATAAATATTGTTATTTAGTTATTACACAACAACTTTCATCTTCGGAGCTGTTATATAATGATTCTGTAAAAACTTCCCGCGTTAGTGTTTTAGCGCGAATTTGCTTCGTTTGGCGCATTTTTATTTAGTTTCGCCCGGTCTTTCTGTGAGTGAACATCGATTTGTGACTATCGCGAATGTTTAGCTGTTTGGTGAAACTTGTGCGTGGGAAAATCCTTTGAAAAATGAGTGACGGAAACCGTAAAAGATGCCGGTCGCCCGCCAGTGAAGGTACACTAATCAATAATGTTATAGAAAGTGGTTGTAATTTTGTTGACGAAGACAATAGTAGTGACTCATTTGATGAAATACCATCTTCCGAAACGAGTGACGACTATGTGGATGACACTGACGAGGACCCAGACTACAATCCAAATAGAAGTAAGGAAAATAATCGTTTTAGTTTTTTGGCAAATAGGCCTAGTCGAACTGACTATGTAAGCGAATCAAGCTCTGGTTCTGATGATGATGATGATGATCAGTCTAGGCGTAGATGTAACTTATTTGGGCAAAGAGACCCTCCTAATGATGCATCTGAGGAAATAGTAGATGACCCTGAACCAATCAATTTGCCAGGCACAGCACATGACCTTGAACCGTTCAATTTGCCAGGCACAACACATGACCTTGAACCAATCGATTTGCCAGGCACATCGGCTCAAATTCCTAGAGGAAGGGAAGGAATATCTAGAGGAAGGGGAGAAATGTCTAGAGGAAGGAGAGGAATACCTAGAGGAAGGGGTAGGGGAGGAACTAGAGTTAGGGGTAGGGGAAGGAGAGATCAACCATCCAGTCCAGATAGTAGCGAATGGGAGGAGGTGGGAGAGGACGAAGATCAAGAACGGCAACACGACTTCACATACTCTGAATTGCCTGGGCCCAAACATTGTCCTCCCCGGAATTCTAAGCCTATTGATTATTTTCACCTTTTTTTTACGATGAACCTAATTACCACTTTGGCAAATGAAACTAACAGATATGCCCAGAACTTTTTTAACAATAATGACGTAGCTAGAAATAACATGAAAGATTGGTGTAACGTCACCGTACACGAAATGAAAGCGTTTATCGCTGTAATTTTGAACATGGGGATTTTGAAAAAACCATCTATACGAAGCTACTGGTACACAACTCCATCACAAAAAACTGATTGGTTTGGCAAAATGTTCAGCAGGAATAGGTTCCAGTCAATATTAAAATTCTTCCACATTGTTGATTCCAGGACTTTGCCACGACAAAACTCTCCCAATTATGACCCATGCGGTCGATTCCAGCCTCTTATAGATCACTGCAACCGGCTTTTTCAATTCTTCTACATACCGTTCCAGAAACTTTCTGTTGACGAGTCCCTGGTTGGAACGAAAAAAATAATAGCTCTGACTCAATACCTGCCAAAGAAAAAGCATCACAGATGGGGTATTAAGCTGTGGGTCCTTTGTGATGCCACCACAAATTATTGCTTAAAGTTCTTTTGTTACAAGGGCGCCAAGTACGAAGATAATAGAGAGGAAATTGAACAACTAGGCCAGGGTTTCTCCGTTGTAAAGAGATTGTTACAGATGAGCAACCTTTTGAATAAAGGGTACCACCTTTATTTGGATAATTTCTTTACGTCAAAAAAGCTAGTGAGATATTTGTACAACAACAAAACTTGGTTGACAGGGACGGTCCGTATTGATAGAAGAGGAGTACCGAAACAATTGCTCGGGAAATATCCTGTAGGGAAAAAGGTTTACGTAAGAAAAGGCCCAGTTCTATGGATGGCATATCGTGAAAAAAGCACAAACAGAACCCAATTCATTTTAGTTTCGTCAAATGCCAAAGCTGCCAACGTTCGCTATGTTATTAGAAGGGGGGGGAAGGTTGTCATAAAATCTAAGCCCCATGTCGTTTACGAATACAATCACGGAATGGGAGGCATCGATGGCACCGATCAGATGCTGTATACATACCTGGACGAGCGTCGTTGCATGAAACATTTAAAAAAAGTCATTTTCAACATTTTTGGTAGGATGATTCTAAATGCCTACGTGCTTTATAAGCTTAATACAGACAAACCTGTCTCCCGATTGCAGTTTCAAATAGACATCATAGAAGAATTGGCGTTACTATGGTTCACAGAGAAAAATCCTGGAGTTGATGCCCGAGGATGTGGTGACGGTCCTGGTCCTTCTCCCAATAGTAGAAAGTTTGGCCTCGAAAAGCTGGAGGGAACCAAAGAAAAAAACTGTTGCGTTTGCAGTGGTAAAAACGACCCACAAGGAAAAAGGAGACGGTCCAAAACCATTTGTGTGAATTGCAAGCTTGGTTGCCATTTGGACTGTCTGCCCAACCACAAGTGTAAAGTGTAATTTGGGGGGGGGGGGGCACTTGTAAATATGTAAATAATTTTTATAACATTATTTGATGAAATGGACAAGAGGATATTTGTGTTAGGTATTAGTGTTTATAGAGAAAGTTAGTGAAAGAAGACATGTTTCAGACTTATTTTTCATCTGCTCGTGAAAACCTGGTGAGTGACCCTTTTTCTATAAGTGCATGATATTGGAAAAACCTGCATAGAAACTTTATTTTTTAACTTTTTGTGGTCAAATTTGCATTATGTTATCTTTACAATGTAGTGAACTGAAATATGAAATTTTTTTAAAGAAGCACGCATATTTTATTGGTACTTTTTTAAAAAAAATATAAAAAATAGGTAATTGTGAAAAAAAAATTTTTTTGCAAAAAAATATAAAAAAAAAATTTAAAAAAATAAATTACAGTTTACACAGTCGCAATGTACATACAAATGCCTTCAAAATAAAAAAAAAAAAATTATTTCTAACTGCAATAATAAGGGAGTTATACATTTTTCTTCAAAACATGTGTAAAACAGGTGTTATTGGCTTGGGATTCTTGAGTAACAGCTGGCATCAAATGGCTGGGCCGCCCCAGCTAACGCAAGCCAAAGTGCACGGGACTACTCAAACTAAATCTAGGTTAAATTATTGGGATCCAAAGGGTTAATACAAATATTTTTAGCTTACGTTTTTGAATGTGTGCACATGAAAATGTAATCTATACTGCTATCTTTACAGATGGACTGGTTTTTATATCACCTATACTATAGGATTTCCCTTGTGTGTGCAATTTCTCTGAATGTAAAATGAAGACAATAACATCGTGATTGCAGCTATGCTATACATCCAAGTTATATAGTCTTAAAACTCATCTAATTATCTAATATATTTTTACGAATGATTTTTACGAAATCCCCAGTCTAAAAATATGATTCTGGACCAAAGTAGCATTTAACTAGGTACATAGAACACAACATACAAAATCATAGACACTTTACATATACATAACTTTGTTTCTTACACTAGCCTAGGACCACACAACCAAACAATAGACTACATACAACTTTGTTAGCTGGAACTATTACAACACTCTAAAACACACACCAATCCCACAAGATTAAAGCCACAATTTACAAATGATAAATTTTTTAGGGTAAAATAGAGAGAAGAGAGCTTTTAAAAAAAGATTATTCTGCTTATGAAAAATGTTCATTTTTAGTGTGAGGTTATGTTCAACCAACAAACATGACACGAGCAACTCTTTTTTAGCGAATTTTTCTATAGAGAAGTAGCTATTACTGTAGGGGGCAGGGTGGAGCCCGGACCGATATACTTTTCCATTTTGATGTCCCTAGGCCAAAAACACTGTTCGAATTTATTACAACTTGTTTATGGAAATATTTTTATCAAATTTATTTATTTTATATTAAGGAACTAATATTTTACTTAAAAACACATTTCATTAGCCTCCCTGTAGCAGCAAACCTAGGTACTCGTTAAACCAAATGTTACTTAAATAGATTTAATATAAAATCAAATCAGGCAAATGGAAATTCGCTTAGTCTGCAGGTTTGCTGCGGCGGAGGTATTTTTCTATCGGACACCGTCACTCATTCCACTACCATACAACATAAACTCACAAATCCAAACACAACAAAAGATTGCAATCATCAATCTCGGTAGAGTGCTGTTGGTAATAGGAGTTTCGTTCCTACTTCTTAATATGTTATTGTTATTGTTTATTGTTGCACTTCTTTTTAATGCTTTTAGAATTAAGTATTCCTGCCAAAATACTTTTATAAATAAGTGCCTGCCACAAACCGCCTTAGAGTTAGTTTCATATTTTTTTGTACTTAAAAAAAATTAAAGAAAAAAAAATACTGTAATTGTTTATAATGATTGTCATTTTTTTAAATCTATTGGTCCTTGCCAAAAAGTTTTGTAAACTAGGCGAGGCCATCCATGAAATATCTTGAACAAATATATTTGAATTTGAACAGAAGGAGTATTTGATATTCAATTGTTATGTTTAATTTCAAATATTCTTTCTCTATGCTGTATTCATTATGTAACAAGCGCTCATCAAAATACAATAGTATGCATATTATTTGAGTTTACGTGTGGATTAAAGGCCTGTTTGTTTTATTTATTTTTTGAAGTTATAGATTTGACAGATTTGTAGTAAAATAGATTAAGATTATATTATAAAGTAGATTATTAACTGAGGATACACCAATTACTGCTATATGGTGAGTGCACCAGTGAATGACCGTTTAAGGTTGACTTTCTACTTGTAAACGACATGGGAAAATATACTACTAAGCTACAATGTACGAAATCATTAAAATGTATTGCCCACATTTCCCTGTACTTCCCGGTGATACAACTTAATTCATTATGTAAAAAAAGTATCAAAAAATACAATTTTTTGCACATAAATCATCGCACCAGTGAATGACCGCATATTGTATAACAATTTTAAAATTGTATTAAACCTCCTCCTTTTTACCGAATGACCCCCGTTCTAGATTTTCGCATCGAAGCTGTAAACCCTGTAATGAAAAACAACGATATCAGGGTCCTTAAAATATTGGTTCTAGTGAAGGATCATCTTTTATCTAAGAAATGACCGTAAGATTTAACCCATTGGCGCCGACTTACGAGCGTTACTCGTACGGCCGCTGCAGGCCCGACGGCCGACTTACGAGTGCCGCTCGTGTCACCGCTAGGCAGCGCCATTAGTTATTTAGTTATTATTATTTTTCGCCCTTTTTGTTTCTTCTTACTATTATAATGTTTATAAATATCTTGCTTCTTGATATGCGTTTTTACTCATTTATTTTAGCGAATAACAAACAATTTTGTGTTGCCATGGAAACCACATATCACCAAAAATCAGCTGCGGTAAGGTAAACAAACAATTAAAAAAAAATGTTATTACTTATAAAAGTACCTACACAACTTTTGATTTTTCTACGTAGGGAATCGATTGAACTTTATAATAGTAGTGTTATTTGGTGTCTGGATTGATCTTGGAATTTGTATATCAAGTTTACTTTCAAAATATTGTTTTTTAAATTTTTATTTTTATAATCTTTATATATATATTTTTTTTTAGTTTAGAACTTTGACTATCCAATTACCACTTTTCTGTAGACAATTTTACTGTGAACAAAAAGGTGAAAGAATTATTAATTTATTACCTAAGGTTTTCTTTCTATAGCAGTTAGAGTAAAAGTCTACAAATTCGGTAAAATTAATTGCCGCCAGAGGGTGCTGCAGGTAGCGCATTAATTCCTTCCCCAATGGGTTAACTCGCATTCAAACTTTGGTTATAGTTTATCCACATAATTTATGATGAGATTTTGCGTTTCCTACCAATCGCTTACTCCATCAGAAAACATTGTCATCAATATCTAAAGAAAATTGACTTAAATCCAGTTAATGAACAAAACGGTCATTCACTGGTTATACCCTAATTTGTGAACCAGTAATTGACCGGCTGTTTAAATATACAATTGGTTAGGATTTTGATCTTTAAATGAGATCAGAATTATACCTTAACATGTTAACTGTGAATTACATGTAATATATTAAAGTTCAAATCAATAATTAAGGAACCATGACAAATTACAACCAACCATGTTTGTGTGAGACGCCATAGTGGGAAGCTTACAAATGAACTGCATTGAAACATTTTGTTTATGTTACAAAAGTATGATTGACACTTTCTTTTTTAATAAGTGACAGAGTGTAGGACCAATAAGACCTCAAAGTTAATTTTAAAACTGATTGTGATAGACTAGGAAAAACAGAAAGCCTGATATGATGTTTTTTATACAAATCGGTCATTCACTGGGGGATGGTCATTCACTGATGCACTCACCCTACATGTTTCCTGTAACGTTTTTCTTTGTGTTAATAAATTATTTGATTTAAACTTAAAGAGAAAATTGGTAGGTGCTGATGCTTAGATCTGGTAATAGTTCCTGGTGACAAACATAGTCGACTAGGACATTCTAGAGGTCAAGTTTCACCTCGTATACCCAACTACACTTTTGCTGTCCCTTCAATATTTTTATTTCTGACAACTGCTCCTAGATCTGACTATTTTGGACATACAAAACTGCAAGTGGGCCTAGACCTTGATTTACATTTTGTGTTTTGTTTTAGAGTTAGGCCTACTGTTAATAATTGTCACTATTAGTCTCAAGTCTTCATTAGTTATATGGCCTACATAATTTATGTTTTTTTTTTTTACAGATTTCCTCCTCTGCCATGATGACAAATCGGGGACAAGGGCCGTTGCTTTCATTCTCTATTTAAGTGATCTATTGGAAGAAGAAGATGGAGGAGAACTCCGGTTTTTTAGCACATATCCTGGTGGTAAGTGTAAATTCTTTCTCTATTACACATTCATTGTAAAGTAACATTAATGCACGAATAACTTGGTATATGTTGTTTTTAGAACAAAAGGTTTAAATTACCTGTATCCTGTCAAGTGATCCTAGATTGTAGTTGGTTGACTGACTGCAGCTGTTTCATGTTCACAAACACATCTTCAGTTCTAATTTTACGTTGATTTATTCAATGGAATGGTCGTCATGAGATTAAACGTTCACAAATAACACTTACACCTACACAAAAAATTTAACATTATTGGCCAAAACACAAATATAAAAAACGATAAATTTAAAAAAGACATCGGACACATGCATTGCCAGCAGAAGGTAGGTCATGACTGCAAGTCATGTCCGATGTCTTTTTTAAATTCCACGTTTTTTATATTTGTGTTTTGGCCAATGATGTTTAATGTTTCGTGTACGTATAAGTGTTATTTGTGAACTTTTAACCACATGAAGACCATTCCATAGAATAAATCAATGTGAACATTTGACCTGAAGATATGTTTGTGAACACAAAACAGCTATTGTCAACCAACTACAATCTAGGATCACTTGACGGATACAGGTAATATAAACCTTTTGTTGTAAACATGAGTGATCCAGAGGATACAATACCAATGAAAATGAAATGGTTTTTTAGCCTTCTTTGGACTGTTTACATTAAATTTTAAATTGTTTAGTATTATGTTGTGTGTATATTATGAGTGTTTGTTATTGTGTTTTTATATGTCGGCCTCATTTAAGGTTCCAATTAAAGAAAGCTTAATAACAACACTTTTCATGTTAGTCTTCTTAAACTGTTGTTGTTCGATAATAAATCAATTTGATTAGGTCATCATGAACCCCAGATGTTGCTCAAGCAAACAATCGTGAAAGATTTTATTTTAGTAACTGTGTGATTGATATCTGATATTGTTTGTAGATCGTGATCCTAAACAAGATAGATATTTTAAGAAAGTCAAACCTGCCGAGAACACACTTCTGATGTTTAACGTCTCCGACTTTTCGTTTCATGAGGTAAGTTGTATCACATAAAACTCAATTTAGTTTTTATATCTCTTATTTTTATACTTTCTTATTGTCCAAGAATATTGTTCCTAGTCGCTCATATGGCAAAACAAATTTCCTAGCCTACCCAAAGATTTTAGATTTTTATCAAGTTGGACGGATATACACATTTTTGAGCATGAGATTGGATACAATACAGGTTTTAGAACTGAGAATACATTGTATTTTAAATTAATGGTAAAATTACCATATGACATTAAAAAAAATATTTTGCTTTAAAAAAGTGTACAAAGCAACACAAAATGATTTGTTTGATCTGTTAAGTTTTTAGTTACAACAACATGCTCAATTTACTAAAGTATAATTCTTTTTCAGGTAGAACAGGTGTACGTCGACAAGGAAAGACTGTCTATAAATGGATGGTACCATTTACCAAGTCCATTAGATGAGAGCCTTACATGTGTAAAAATTAACCAAAAAAGCAAGGTCTTGCAATTGGAAATGGCAATAAAACCGGTGAGCAAATCTTACTTATTTACAATTATTTTCAAGAATTGCGGAATTGTTTTGTCTAACAAAGACCTGTAATTTGATGTGCATGTTGACCCATGCTTACATTTATGATTTTTTCTGACTACAGTAGACCGCCTCTTAACCGACCCTAATGGGACCAGACCTAGGTCGGATAACTCAAAACGTCGGTTAAAACGGGTAATACCTAAAAACACAATGAAATTAAGTGTTGTATAATCACTATTTTGAAGTAGTAGTTGCATTATTTATAAAATAAACTACACTTGTCTCCTTTTTTCGTACACTAATAAACAAAATAACACGGTTAAGTCAAATACTTTCAGTAGAATAAATTATAGTTGTAGGCAAGAATCAATAAAAACTGTTATTTTACTGTACTGTTATAACTTAAGTACGTTCTTGTTCTGTTAATTGATGCTTTCAAAATACAGTACAGTATATCGTAATACAGTACAGAACTCTTTGTTGAAATTAAAGATACAAGCAACATATTGTTACGATACAGAATGTTTATTTATAGCCTCTCACTGGAAGCTCGAGTGACAAAAACAATCTTGACCTTGGACTTGGAGTTGTTAACCCTCTCCCCTTCCCGCCCCTACAAGTTGCATTGTTTGTTTGTTTACTCTAGCGATAAGATAACTCTGGAATATATATTACAAAAAATAGCAGCTGTTTTCAGACACGTTAAGTAACTGGTAAATAGTTATTTGTGCAACTAGTGAGAAAAGTGAGCAATTGACTCACTCGAGAGAAATCCTTACTCACGAGCCGTAGGCGAGTGAGGAATGGTTTCTCGAGTGAGACAATTGTACTTTGAACTCGAGTTGCACATTATACTTTTCCTACAGTTACAAACAAAACAGTTATAAAACAAATAAATTGGTGAAGAAACATAACCTATTTTTACACAGAAGTGAACTTTAAATATAACATTTAACGTGAAGTGACTAATACAACAGTACAACAGTTGACCAGCTGATTTACAGCCAGTGCTGCCAACGTATTTCGCGCGCATACGACGTTGCCTGCATGTTACGCGCTCACTATTTCGTGCCTTCACGTTGCAAATCTGGAGTGAGACAAAGTAATTAGAGTGAGACAATGTTAACATTGTCTCACTGATGAGCGAATTGGCCACTTTGCTTTCTCAAATCAGTGAGAGAACATGTACATTGTTAGGTAACTGTAGGAAAACTATTTTGTTTACATACCAATTGCTCTTTGTACAATCGATCTCGCTGATTTGCTTTGGTTTGACACACTGAAGATCCACCAGAAAACTTAATAAAAAACACCTTCAATTTTTCACATTCGATTACTGTATTGAATTGAAACACACACACTACTTTACAGTAATAAAAAAATACAATAAACCATTGATAAAAATTAGCGATTTCTTTTACACTGAAGCTAGCTTACTTCTGCACATCACATCTGCAGAACTTGATACTTTTTGTTGTTCAACATAACTTGCAGCTAGAGTAAATGCCTTTCTTGCCTCGGAATGACTAATTTTGGATTCCTGATCTAAATCTTAGACTTCATCTTCCTCCTCATTGTTATCTTGACGGGTGACTGCCATAACGATTTCTTCGTCTGTCATCATATCGTTCCCCAGCTCGTCAACGTGAACAATCCATTGTTGAACATCTTCTGCTTCTATGACGTAATCACCACCTGTCAATGTTTGAAGATCCTCCAATACTAATTGTTCACTTGGGTCAATCTCTTGTTGGCGAACTTCTGCTGATGGATTATCGTTGTTATGTTGTTTAATACCGCTTCTTCTACTTCAGGCCACAGTTTACTCCATGACTTTACTATTGTAGTTCTTCATACGACTTAGCCACCATGTAAATGACGTCCTTTACATTGATTGTTTTTAAGACGTCAACAAGTCCTTTACTGTAAAACTCCATCCTGTTCAAAATTTCAGAAAGTAACTTTTTCTTTTATTGTCTCTTGAAACTATCGATTACGCCTTGGTCCATAGGTTGGACAATGCTGGTAACGTTCGGAGGAAGAAAATAGCATTTTATTCCACTGTCTTCCTCGCTTTCAATGCCTTCTACATGACTGGTAGCATTGTCCAAAAGCAAAATTGCCTTTATTGGCATTTTCAGGCTAGTCAATGTTTTTTCACGCTGAGAACAAACTCGTTGATAAACCAGTCCTTAATAATAAACTCATCCATCCAAGCAGATTGCTGCGCTTTGTAACAAACTTGAAGAGCATTTACGTTTATGTTTTTGAATGCTCTTGGCTTTTGATATTTGCCAATCACTAAGGGAGGTAGTTTGTGGGTTCCAGACGCATTAGAACATAGGGAAACTGTTACCCTCTCTTTGTTCATTTTGAACCCTGCAGCCGATTTTTCATTGCTGGCGGCAAATGTTTTGTCTGGCAGACGTTTAAAATTTAATCCAGTTTCATCCATGTTATAAATTTGTTCTGGAGGTAAACCCTCCTCCTCAATATAGTCCTTGAATTTTGTAGAAAATTCACTAGCTCCAGTAGGATCTGCCGACAACTTTTCACTGCAAACAGATAAAAAGTGGACGCCATGTCTTTTTTTCCCCCTGTCGAACCAGCCGTTACTGGCAGTGAAACTGCCGCCGTTTTCAATCTTAGAATGAAGCATGGTTGCTTTTCCCTTTAAAATCGGGCCATTTAATGGGTTTCCTTTACGCCTTTCTTTTGTGAACCACAACCACAACGCGTCATCTACGAGATCATTTGTTGGTTTTTTTAATATACGCCGAGTCGCCAACGCCGTGCCAGATTCTATTTAGGGGTGTGCGAGTATTCGAACATCGAGCTTTTTCGAGCCGAATAGCGTCCTATTCGGCTCGGCTCGTGATTTTCAAAAAGTTCGTAATGTTCGAGCCGAATACTTTTTGAACTAGCAAATAAAACTTAAAATAGGAAATAAGGAACTAACTTTCATTTAAATTTAATCTCCGTTTCATAATTGTGTCAATATGTAATTCGATAAGCATAGCCTACATCATTACACGATGTTTGCTCAGTAAATACTGAACTGAACTGAAGAACAGAAGAACCAACCAACGAAAGAATTACGCAATGACAAGACGAAATCAGCTGACTAAATCAACTAGCCAATGCCACTGCCGTCGACACTGCACATCATTTTTGCTGCAATGTTTGGATTGGACACTAAACTGAGACTGAGTGAGAAAGAATACTGGATTGAGAAGCACTGGAACGGCGACTTTGTTATAAAATCGACAATGTAAACAAATGACGTAACTGGTCCGGATCGAGTGCTAATAACAACATGGTTTGGACAAATCATTTTAAGCTATTTTAAATTTGCACTTTCCAGCCAGTAACACATTTGTTTATGTTTATGAACAATACCGTGTCTGTTTTAATCACGGCCGCCTTTAACTACAGGCCGCGGTCTGGTCGAATTGGCAACACATCGCAAGTGGTGTTGTTCAGTGACAGACGTCCGATAAGATAACATAGCAGACATGTGACATTAGCTCATTAAATCGCACTTTATTGATTTAAATTTATTAATATAAATTTATTAAAATATTGAAAATAAAACATACAGAATTGAAAACCGAAACAATATGAATTTATCTGTAGATTTTTAAGCGGAGTCAATAATGTCATAGTCCAGTAACCATTCGTTCGTAAATACACAAATACCATTAGCTGCTTCCAAACAAAAACAGCTGTTACAACACCACTTGCGACGTTGCCAGTTCGAAGGCCGCGGCCTGTAGTTAGAGGCGGCCGTGGTTTTAATATTCGTGGTATTAGCATTGACAAAGCGGGAACGCGTCAAGATGACACCACATCAACCAACCACCAACAAGAAGAAGCAGTTTAGGGTTGCATCATTGATTATACATCTTGGGGAAGAAGTATAATCAATGGTTGCAGGTTGATGTGGTGCACGTTGTCGTGGTGGCACCTCTTCCGTGTGGTGGCGGATTGTCGGGGTGGCACGTTAGTGCCTTCGTGCTTGGTGGCGGGTTGACGGTACAACCATATTAGTATATAATATTTGTGGATTTTTTATTCCATTAAAATCGTTATGATTGACCAACTTCGTATAAAGCAATTGCTTCGTCAATGATTTTAATCATATATATTGTTGACGTTACGCTTATTATGTTATAAAGGTACTATAATCAATGGTTAAAGATTGCATTTGGTTTTACTTTGTACTGCACGAATGTGAAAAAATCATATTGCGTGTTGCCGTTTCGTTTCTGAATCGTTGTTTGTTGTTATTGTTTTTGGTTTTACTTCTTGGCTGTTATCTCTGTTTAGTGTTTGTTTACTTTTAAAATTTTTTATCGTTCTCTAGTCGTAACATTGTTATAATTTATTTGTTATTTTATAAAGTAGTTTGTTACAAAAATAGTTTCGCCCAAAATGTAGGAAGTGCGTGTATTTCTCTAGTCACGTCGTGTAATGAAAGTACAATTAGAACAGTTTGGACGTAGCGAGTTTAATTAATTTCGATTGTATTTGTAGTTTTTAAGGCCTGACCTTTTGTTTAGTTTACTGAGTTTCGTTCAAATTACAAGATGGATAGTGAAGATGAACAATGCATTGATGACCCACCAGCTGGACCTTCTACAAGTACTTCTGTTGAAGTGATCAACCCAGTTAGTCCTAGGCCTAGTTCTAGTATTACACAACCAGTTGGTCAGGCCATTATTTGGAAATATTTTACTAAGACAAGCTCCAAAGAAGCAAAATGTAATAGTTGCAAAAAAACCTTCAAAACTCCTACAGGGACTACATCGTCTATAATAAGACATTTGGAAAATAAACATGCTAACATATATAAACAATATGACACAGAACAGAAGGGATTTTTAAGTTTAAAAGCTGAACAAAAAAGGTCTAAAATGCCTAGGCCTACAGCCCCTAAGCAACTTAAAATAGATGAGCATTTTAGAACAACTGAGAAATTATCTTCCAACCATCCC